ATTACCTTCTTTAATTCTTGTGGAGTGAACTTTTGCAAATCAAATTAGGACATGGTCACAGAGGGAGTAGTATAGTGGGATTTGCTATAATAATTCAATGGAGGTTGCCTTCTTAGTATACCTTTTCTGTTGTCATAATTTATTTATCCAAAATAACGAATAACATAACTATTATTGAGGTTTAGTCTTGCTCCTGTCTCTTTGCTCTATTAGTTAGAGTTTCATTACTCAATATGATACAATTCATGATTCAAAATAGGTACGCCGAATTTAGGATTCGATACTCATTAGAATACCTGCTTTTGGTGGCACATTCGATTTTTTTCAAACTATAAGTCTATAATTGATTATCAAAACCGAGTATTTTCTTTATAAAAAAAAAAAAAAAAAAATAGCTTCGAACCTCAAATTTTTTAATTTTATGCTTTTTAATTTTTGCTTGACCACATTATGTCTGGTTTATCTTCAATATATGCCATTGAACTTCAATGGGGAATTATTACTTTATCTTATTTTTTAAATTATTTTATCTAACAAGTCAAATCTTACACCTCATTTTTTCTTGAGGCTTACATCTCATGAGGCCAAGGCCAACCACCTTGAGTCCCAACTTTGCCTTTCAAAACCTTGCGGGAAAGGGGATAGGTAGGCAGGCCATCACTCTCTGTGTTTTTCTTTGTTTTTTTTTATCCGTTGGAAAAAGATTAGGAGGTAAAGACTTGAGGCTATGATAGAAGAGAGCAGGGAGAGCTGGGGGCGGGAACAGGCTTGGGCACACTTTTTTGGGCTCGTTGTGAGCTAGGATTATAATTTTATTTAGGGAAAACTGTCAAATAGGTCCTCGAACTTTCATAAAAAAATCAATTAAGTCCTTCTATCGGAGACTCTGTACGGTTTTCACGATTTGGGGCGGTTCCCGGTGGAATTTTTTGATGAAATTTTTTGAGCATCTTATTCATCAAGTCTAGTTTACTCATACCGAATTTCAGCTAAAAATATATTCGGGAGAGCATTCAAATTAATTCGAGAACGCAAAAATGCGCAGTTATCTTCATTAATTAATTTGAATGTGTTCCCGATTGAATTTTTAGCTGAAATTTGGTATGAATAAACTAGACTTGGTGAATAAGATGCTAAAAAAAATTCATCAAAAAATTCCACCGGGAACTGCCCCAAATCGCGACGGCCTGACAGAACCTCCTATAGAAGGACTTAATTGACTTTTTTATGAAAGTTCGAGGACCTATTTGACAGTTTTCCCTTTTATTTATTATTAAAACGCTGCCCTCGTTTGACAAAGAAGACTCGATCGGCTAGGTTGATAGGGCTGAGCAACCGTTCAAACTGAACTGGACTCCGCCAGGAAAGGTGGCAGCCATTTTATTTGCGATGGAAGGGTCAGTCGTATACTGTTTTGAGCTTACACATGCGTTGATGGCTCGTTTTGACTCACGGCATAGCATTCGAGTGCTTGTTTTGTGGTCAGAAACAGGGAACCACGGTTAAATGGTACGAGACTTAAAACCTATCGACGCCTTGGTTATTTCTTTAGGTTACAACTAAATGAAATTGTTGCAGGTTTATCTGCAATGCCTCGTTGTCTGATGCGAGTGGCTGCATTCTTGTGACTCTTTTCACAAGCGATATTTTGCGCCTGTTTGAGTTTGTTGGTATGAACCTCGACACTGATATGGACTTGCAAGCTTTGGATACAAGATTCCAATCGGTGATGGTAATTGTTATCCTATAAAATTTACCCTTCAGTCTCGTCGGCATACCTCTATCACATAGAAATCCTGACGCACTCTTCCACTTCATCCACCCTGTTCTGATTCTATGGTATACATCTCCATCTAGCTCACCGTCTTGAATTATGGAGCCCAAGTAACGAAACATATCACTGACCGGTATCTCCTTACCATCTAGAGTAATTCCAATATTACCACTGCTTCTACCTCCACCAAACTTGCACTTCATGTACTCTGTCTTGCTCCGACTTAGTCTGAAACCCTTGTTCTCCAAAGTTTGTCGCCATACTTCCAACTTTGCTTTAAGACCTGATTGCGTCTCATCAATCAATACAATATTGTCGGCAAACATCATGCACCACGGTATTTCGTCTTGAATTGACTTCGTAAGTTCATCCATGACTATGACAAATAAGAAAGAACTCAGAGCCGATCCTTGGTGCACTCCGATAGTAATAGGGAACTCCGCAATCCTCCCTACATTAGTACGAACATTTGTAGTACTATCCTCATACATATCCATGATGATGCGGATATACTTGCGTGATATGCCTTTTCTAGATAAGGCCAGCCAAAAAACTTCTCGAGGTACCCTAACATTGAGACATGAGGAGGTGGTGTGGTTATTAAGAAAAATGAGTTTGTGGTTGATATTGAATTGATAAAGTATGAATAAAGTAATAATGATTTAGAATCACACACATTTTACCAAATTTAGTACTCCCTCTGTCCCGCTAAGATTGTCCCAGAAACTATTTACTTGGTCAACAAAAATTAGTCTTAATTTCTTACTTGATATTAAATGATTATCAAATTTGATTCTGGTTTTGCGACTTTCTAAAGTTTTTAATGTAGTTTCTGATTATGTAAGTTTTTTGTCTAAAAATAATTTGAGTGATCTGTTTGCTTTATCGTCGGTCAAGCATCATACACCGAATTGTCTCAAACATAGTGGGACAGAGAGAGTATGAGACAATTTTAGTGCGACGGACAGAAAAAAAGATGGTACAATATTAGGAGTGCAATTTTGTTCACCCCCTCTAAGGAGGGTGAACATCACCCCTTCCCTCATTTGTTGCCATGTGGCTTTCCATCCTCTTTTTTTCTTTATATTAATTTATTTTTTTTATTTATTGTCCAAATTTTTAAAAAAAAAATTATCAGATTTAATAACTTTTTAAGATCTTTTCGGTGGTATCAATATTGTATTGAAAAAAGTTGGACAAAAAAATCGTTTTTTTTACAAATATTCATTTGTAGATGGATTTTTTTAATTTTTTATATGCAATATTGGTACCATATGAAAGGTCTTTAAAAAATAAAAAATTTGATATAGTTTTTTAAAAAAGTGGATTAAAAATGAAAAAGTTAAAACAATTGCCAAATAGTTAAGAATTGTCTTGCGCATGGCAAGCAATTAGGGTGGGGGTTGTATATCACCCTCTTTTGTGAGGGTGAGCAAAATTATTCTCCAATATTAACGTGACGGGGGGAGTAGATAATATATTTTTTATTTTGATATATGCAACATTGGTGTAATCCATCGATTCAACTTGAATTAATTAATAATTTTAATAGTACTAGCTCCGTTTTAAAAATCATTCTAAGCGTCCGACTAGTCCCCGCCTAGGCGCAAGGCGGTGGTTGGGGGCCCCGATTTTCGCCTAGGCGCTCCGACTAATTGGTTCGTCTAGGTGAATTAGTACAGTCGGCTGTCTATTGCGTCTAGTTTCCCACCTAGAGTGCTTAATTGACCGCCTATGGCGCCTAGTTGCCCGCCTAGAGCGCCTAATCGACCGCCTAGGCCGTCTAGATTCGCCGAACATTACTTACTTTTTAATTTTAATTTTCTAAGCATCATTTGTACTTTAACTTTAACCATGAATATAAAGAAATGAAGTTGTAAATTAAGAGAAACCTATATATGTTTGTATATATATATATATAGAAATTTTATCATTATTTATATTTATAACATAACGAAGTTAATTGATTAGTTATCATATACTACGTATGATTAAGGGTGTTCTTACTTGGACTGTAATTTGTCCCAGACCAGACCAGACTTGGATAGTTATAAAAATACAAAGAAACCAGACAATACCAGAGCAGATCAGACCAACAAGTTACAGTCCAAGTAAAAACATCCTAAATGTGATAATTCTATTATTCGTGTTTGTTAATATATATGTATATATGTATTTTATGCACACAAGAATACAATATTGCTTATAATATTTACGCAAAAATATACGAGTAGGTAAAAATGCAATTTCAATGTCTCCGATTAGTCCCCAACTAGGTGCTCGCCTAGCTACCTAGGCGCTAGGCTGACGCCTGACTAGCGCCTAACGCCTTTTAGAACATTGAGTACTGGTAATAAAACTTTTGTAACAAATAAAAGACTAACACATCAATGATTTTAAATTCTATTTTCCTATATAAAACAGTAGATTTGAAATGAAAGAAGAAAATCCTGGTAAAAAAGTCAACATGCAAACGCATAGAAAATGAAAACTTCTAAGTTAAATTTAAAAAAAAATCGAATTTAATTAAAAAACATTAAAAGAAGTAGTGCATAAATGTAAAACAAACGTATACGTGATACGTACGGAGTATATTATGTAATGGAGTACGATGGTATTACGTAATATATTACGTAATACAAACGTATACGTACGTCATATAATGTAATGAGGACGGCTGTTCGAGTCGGGTGGCCTGACAGGACAGCTCCGTGCGGTCTTCCCCATTTGGAGGCCTTCCCGGTGGAATTTTTGAAGAAATTTTTTGAGCATGTTCCTCATCAAGTCTAGTTTATCAATACCAAATTTCAGCTCAAAATTTGATCGGGAAGACAGTCAAATAAATTCTTGAAACATACTCGACATTCTGCGCATATATAAAATGCAGTATGTTTCAAGAATCAAGAATTTATTTGACTGTCTTCCCGGTCGAATTTTGAGCTGAAATTTGGTATGGATAAACTAGACTTGATGAGGAACATGCTCAAAACATTTCATCAAAAAATTCCACCGGAAAGGCCCCTAAAAAGGGAAGGCCGCACGGGGCTTCTGGTCAGGCCGGCCTGACTCGAACTGGACTCATGTAATGAGTATTGTGTAATACTTCGTATATGGTGTAATTAATTTTGTGAAAGCTACTTACCGCGCGCGGCCTCTGGGCTCTGTCAATATATATATATATATATATATATATATATATTGAACGAAGCTAAACAATACGGCAGGAGTAATTGATAATTTGTGAATTGTGAGTAGGAATTAAAATTCAGTAAACAAAAGAACGACTCCGAGCAGGCACGGAAAAGGGAGGGCGATGACGCTTTCTTTTCCGGTGATGTTTTGGCTGGTCGGGGTCATCACTGTTATTTCGAATTCAATGTTGCGGGCGAGTTCGGCCGCAACGACTACAGGGTTTCCCCATCATGGCGAAGGGGTACGGGTGATCCTCAGACGCCTGGAACGTGTTCAAGGCGCCGTACAGCGCGACGCTGAGAGGCTTGCTGGCCTCTTAGGTGTGGCGGCATCGGAGCGAGGGGTGATGAATTCAAGTGTACACTCCTCTCGCTCATCCGGCGAGTTCTGGATGGACCTATCGATTGGGACTCCGCCAGTGGCGTTGAGATTCGTTATCGACACGGGCAGTGACGTGATTTGGACTAATAGCCACAGTAGCGATGAAGGTACTGTTATACAGAAACTTAGATGCGTCCCGGGGAGTAAAAAGCTTACAGTCCCCGGGTGCGCCTACAATAGCAGTTACCGCGATGGGTCATGGAGCTGGGGCCATATTGCGGCAGAGAGCTTTACATTTGAACCAGGTAATGTCACGGTCGAGAGCGTGGCGTTCCTTTCGGCCGATACAATAGGATGGCCACCATTTGCTAGCAAATCCTCCTCTGGGTTGGTCGGTCTCGGCCGCGGCAACATGTCCTTGGTCTCGCAACTCAATGTCTCCCAATTCTCGTATTGCTTAACCGACGCCGACAGCAATTTAGTCAGCACGCTTACACTGGGCGGCAGTGGAGGCGCCGCCCAGAAGAAGAGAGCTGGCGGAATATCCCCTATAACAGCCGGCCGTTTATTAGAGAGCCCAAAAAAGGCTCCGTACTCGTCGTTTTATTATGTTGCCATTAAGGGGATATCCGTCGGGGATACCCTCCTGGACGTGCAGGAGAGGGTGTTCGAGGTGGACGGTGAAGGGAGGGGCGGGATGATCATCGACTCCGGCACCACCCTCACGTACCTACCGTCGATGGCCTATAACGCGCTCATAAGTGAGGTAGAGAGCCAGTCGGGACAGTCACATCCGATAGAGGGCTCCAGATTGTGTTACCCGAGGACGAGCTACCCGCGCAGCCTGAACCTGACCATCCATTTCGACAACAACGAGAAGCTGACCATCCCCTCAGAAAACTGGTCCGTCACAGGAAAGATAGATGAACACCATTTCGGGACGTGTTTGTTATTTGGCGAGGCCTTGGACGGCGAGCCTGGAATTTGGGGAAATATTCTGCAGCAGAATATGTTGGTGACCTATGATCTGGCTCATAGCGCTCTTTTCTTCGAGCCAAAAACGTCGTGTGGTTAATCCCTCATATCATCGATCGCACCTTTCTACTTACGCACCCAATAAGCTTAATTCATCTTAGACAGACCGTCATATATCGATCCATCAGTTTGTGCTCATCGCCGACCATATGTTTAAATTAAGGATTGCCATTCCTAGCTTCCTGTTTCCTAGTTTGTGTACGTTTTAAATCTATTTGTTAGTACTTGGTCCATCCATCTTACCTGTTTGTCTTAAATCGATCCATCTATTCCTGGGAATTAGTTCACTTATACATGTCACTACAAAAAAACAACAATGATATTGGTACGAATTTGGTGCCAATTTACTAAACATAACCAAATTTACTAAAAAAAAATTCATTCTTTCAATCTTTTAAGAGGATTACATGAATCTATATTTAGGAAAGAAAACACTCTTAATTGTATTTTAGAAATTTTCCTATGTTTAACTGTTCTTTTAAAAAGTTTCCTATAAAATTTGAAAAAATTGCTCTTGGTAGAACCAAAATATAGCGTTCTTCAAAAAGTAGGACTTATTTCTTGTTTTCCTTAAATAGGATTATAGGACTAATCATTCCATTTTTACTCTAATTTAATTAATTAGTTCATTAACCTAATTAATTGTCTCTAATTCCCTCTGATGGACCGCCGACCTAGGGGTAGCCAGAATCCAGGAATATTAGCAACCCGCACATTAACATGACCAGGATAAAGCGGCGAAGTCTGGTGCCTTATGCGCTCCAAGTGTAAAACAGTGTCGCGGCAAATTTTGCGATAGGCTTCCTAGAGCATGCCTGAGATCCGACTGTGCACATAAGTAAGGTTTGTTTCACATATGTTTTGTTTCTTTGGCTTTCTGATTGATCTTCTTCCGACTGAGCGCGTGACTCTGGCTGTGGTTGATGGGTTTCGTTTGTAAACGTCATTTGAGTATTGTGTTGTGCTACTACTCTAAGATAGTTGTGTGGTTATTAGGCTTTTATCTTTCTAATCGAGAAAATAGTTTTTTACTACAATGGGCTAGTGTTTGAATCTAGAGCTCTCGATGTTGGTGCGGGGATGGAGACAACCCACATTTCTCAGTTGTAGCTAGGGTTGTAACGGACAAATTTGTCCAACCTATCTTCTTCTGTGAGACTATGGCAATGATATGGCCCCCGAGCAAAGGGGTGAGTATTGAACAAATCGGAGATATGCGGTTCATGATCCAATTCTATCATGAGACTGATTTCTCTCGAGTATTACAAGATGGACCGTGGTCGTTTGATCACAATTTAGTAGTTATCAAAAGGGTGGAAGCGAAAGATAGACCACTTGAGGTAGAGCTAGATCATGCAAGTGCAGTTCTAGGTTCGTTTCCATAACATACCTCTAAGCTTTATGATGGAGACGGTGGCCACAGGTTGATTGCAAAACCCTAAAAGGAAAACGCAAGGAGTATGTTCTCATCCGAGTATCAATAAATATCAAGAATGCGTTGAAACGAAAGGCACGGGTCAGAGAAGAAGGGGATAACTAGTTTTGGGTTTACTTTAAATATGAGTGGCTCCCCAACCTTTGTTTTATTTGTGAAGTGTTGAGCCACACTGACCGATATTGCTCATCTACTACTAGTTCGGGGCCTTGGGTGGGAGAGAAGCCTTATGGCCCTTGGATGAGGGCAAATACACGATGTGTAGGGATTCATCCGAGAAATAAATGGCTTATTCCGCGTGAAGGGCGTGAGTCAACACATGCCAGGGAAGATAGAGAAGGCTGGGTAGCTGACAGGGATACAAGAGAAGGCAACAGAGGCTGGTTGTTACTTGGTCCAGGGACTTATTTCGAAAGGAAAAGAAAAGATGGGAGTTGAGGAGGAGCATAACCCAGTAAGAGCCCTTGAGGAAGCAGAGTCTAGGAAACGTAGAACAGTGGATCTGCAGAATCTAGTGGATGTGCAAGCTCATATGGATCGGAGGTAGAAGAAAATGGGACAAAAAATGGCTCAATGGCGGTGCTCCTGGATCAGCACCGCCTGGAATACTACTAGGCCTTGAGAGCGAAGTGTTTCCTTTGAAGATGGCTGGAGCTATTGTATTGTTTTACCTGTTGTTGCTTTCATTATTAATAAATAAGTTTTCTGGTTTAAAAAAACATGCAGGATAAATAGACTTGTCACACAAATTGTCTTTGTATGTGATCATATGTAAGCGGAGGCAGCGCATCAGGGTTCTTAAATTGAGCCGAACTAAAAAACATAAAACGAGATTGGAGATTTTCCCAAAAAACACAAACTTATTTAAAAAAAAATAAATCCGTGAAGGCACCATTTGATTCAAACCAGTTAGAATACTCTCCATTAAGTGCTTCACGGTTAACAGTCAAAAGAGGGTGTGGTTTAAACCTATGTAGCACCGATACCGGTACGCAGAAACGCGGAAACGTGGAAACGCGGAAACGGGTACGGGGATACGTCAAAACAAAAAAAGTAGGATACGGATACGGGGCCATATTTATAAATATTAAAAGTTATGGGGGTGTATTTACAAATATTAAAAGTTATAGGGGTAGATTTATAAATATTAAAAATAGATTTTTTTTGAATATATATATATATACATACATACATATAATATCCTATGATGTCTACCCATTCATTGCATTGAAACATTTTCCTTTTTCAGGATACTTAATAATAAATTCATAATATTTCTCATATACACTAGTGTATCTCGAAATATAAATGTAGTCAATAAGTCATTAATTTAAAATGAGAAATAAATCAAACAACTACAATCTTGAAATGAAAAGTGCAAGTACCCAATTCGGAGTATGAGTTAATGACTTAATTAGGATATAGCCATATAGGCCCATTATTTGATTACCAAGTAAAATGTAGTTTTAGATTTTCATTTTTCTAAGAATTTTATTAAGTAAATTTTGGATTTTTTTTTTAAAGTTGATACGGGTATCCGTCAGGATACGAGTATCGGAAACTTTCAAAAAATTACAAAAAAAATGGAAACTTTTAAAAATTGCAGATATGGCCCGGGAACGTACGGTACGGGTATCCTAGAGTATCGGATACGAGAACGTATCGGATACGCCGATACGCTACCCTAGGGAAGTATCCGTGCTTCATAGGTTTAAACATGAATAGAAAACTACATGGTCACCAGGGCCGGCCCAGGGCATGTCTGCCCAGTGCGACCGCACAGGGCCCGGATTTTTGAAGGGCCCAAAAAAAAAAATTAGTATTATGCCCCAGTCCAAAATCCCCCTGCGTAAATCTAAATATGCTTGAAGAATGTCCCTTTTTAAATAAATTGTAAGTTATTAATGACTATTTTTATCATTACATTTATTCGTAAGTTGTATTTTGAGACAATTTGCTTGTGTTGCAACTTGAAAAAAGGCCCAAATTTTATTCTCGCACAGGGTCTACATTTCTTCGGGACCGGCCCTGATGGTCACACACCAACATACCTAAACGATATAAACGATATGGATCATTAACATTTAAATTTAAATATATAATATAGAATTATAAAATATTAACACACAATTCCAAGTACGGATTTCACACTATATTGGGTCAGACTCTGCATAAGGGGGATTTCAGCTGTAACCCCCTCCACTCATATTCAAGAGTGATTAGAGAGCCACACTATTTACTTATGTCACATACACTTAAAATGTTTTTATTTGGATTTATTTTAATTCCATACCAGACCAATTAAAAACATCCTTGTCTACATAATGAAATTATAGACGGTGGAGAATGTTAGTTTGTCATTTGTTGACGAAATCTGTGTAAGCATGTGGATATCAATAGAGTTCAGTCTGACATCCTCATCAATTGAATTCATCTTTATGAGGTTTCCATTCATGTAATTTCATTTATAATGGAATTATGGAAACTATGTGAACTTCCCAGCACAATTTTTTTTTTCCGCAACGCTACATTTGCCCTTAATCCAACAATGGTATGAAAGCGTTGAGCTCATTGTTGTACACTTGTACTTATTAGGAGTATAGCATGTATATGACTCTTACCGATAAAGTTTTAGATAAACTATCCTCCTGTAGATCCTATTTAGTCTCTAGTTGGTTAGCTGATCGTATGTATATATATCACTCATGTACTTCATTATCATATAGTTGAATATACAGAAATTCACATACTCTCTCTCAAATATTCATCTGGTATCAGAGCCTTTTCAGGGCATTTTCTTTTTCGGCCAACCCTAGCCATGGTTACCACCACATCAAACCCGTCCATCTCTGCTCCTATCAGCAACCCACCACCCATCGTTCCAATTTTTACCCCGACAGTTGTCACTACGCCCACAACCGATGACACAGCTTCCTCCCGAACCATATCTGATTTTCCTTCCTCATCTGCTTCTACTCTGCCCACAAATAACCTTCAACAAGCTCATCATTTCATCTCTCTGAAACTTACATCCAAAAATTATCTATTTTGGCATACCCAAATGATTCCCTTTCTTCGTGGACAAGGCCTTCTTGGTTATGTTGATGGCAGTTCTATCTGCCCTGCTCCATTTCTCCCGTCTCCCACTGATCCAAGCATGTCCCTCCCAAATCCGGCCTACTCGGTCTGGCACCAACAAGATCAATCTATCCTATCGATGTTGATTTCCTCTCTCTCTGATGAGACCATGTATCTCGCAGTCGGTCACTCCACTTCCCGATCTATATGGCAGGCTATTGAATTGGCTTTAGCATCTACTACTCGAGCTCGTGCTCTAGGGCTTCTCACACAACTCCAATCTCTTAAGCAAGGAGATTCTACTCCTTCTGCATATCTTGGCAAAGCTCGGGTGCTTATAGGTGATCTTGCTCTTGCTGGTCGTCCTGTTTCACTGGATGAGCAAAATCTCTACATATTCCGTGGATTACGATCTGATTACAGATCCATGATTTCATCTCTTACCACAAGAGGAACTCCTGCTACCATTGATGAAATTAGTGATTTTCTCACCACTCATCACTTCATATATGATGATGACCAATTTCTTCCAAGTGCCGACTCTACTGCTCCACCTCAGGCTTTTCAGGTTCAACGTCATGGCTACGATAATACTCGTGGTCGTGGTTTTGGTGGTAATCGTGGTCAGCGTGGTAGGGGTCAGCGTGGTCGTGGACGGGGCACCTCCATTCGCTGTCAAATATGCAACAACCCGGGCCATACTGCCTCTTCTTGCTATCGCAGATACAATGATGGTCCAGCCTCTGCTCAACCGGGTTTACTTCCTATCCCTGCTCATCTCTCCCAGTCACAAGGACTTCAACATCAGTCCCCCATGGGTCATGCTAATATCGCTTATCCCTCGGATGATATGGCTAATGCTCCTTTCTCTCAACACTGGTTTCCAGACACAGGAGCATCTCATCATGCCACTCCAAACCTCAACTCACTTCAGAAATTTGAGGAGTACAATGGTTCTGACACTCTTCGTGTTGGGGATGGTACAGGTTTGGAGATTTCTTGTATTGGTTCTACTAATATACCCACACAGTCTCGTTCTCTCCATATGAAAAATATTCTCCATGTTCCTAAACTCACTACACCTTTACTTTCTGTCAATCGTTTTGCTTGTGATAATAATGTATTTTTTGAGTTTCATCCCAATTTTTTTCTTGTGAAGGATCTCAGCACCAAGACCATCCTTCTCAAGGGCGTCAGTAGAGACGGACTCTATCAATTTTCTGTCCCATCTCCAGTTGCTTATCTTTCTGCACGTGCATCTCCTGAAATATGGCATCATCGTCTTGGTCATCCACATGTTCAAGTTCTTCGTCGGGCTCTTAATCATTGTCCAGTCTCTGGTTCATTTGATATTTTGAATAAGCATTTATGTAGTGCATGCCAACTTGGCAAGTCGTCTCGTTTTTCATTACCGCGTCTTAGTGAGTCTAGTCAACATGTCTTAGATCTTGTGTACTCAGATATTTGGGGACCATCTCCCTACTTGTCTAATGAAGGTTATCGTTACTTTGTTATATTTGTGGATGATTTTTCCCGGTATATTTGGTTTTATCCAATGAAACAAAAATCTGATCTTCATGTTATATTTCCACAATTTCATGCACTGGTTGAACGTCTTTTCTCATGTAAAATGAAGTCATTTCAGTCGGACCTTGGCGGTGAGTATCGCAAGTTACGCAAAACACTACTCACTCTCGGTATCAATCACCGCCAATCGTGTGCACATACTCATGCTCAAAATGGGCGCGTTGAACGACGCCATCGGCACGTGGTTGAAACAGGGCTTACTTTACTTGCACATGCCTCTGTTCATCCTCGTTTTTGGTCATATGCGTTTGAAACCGCTACCTATCTCATCAATAGAATGCCTACCTCCACTTTACACAACGACAGTCCCTATTCCCTTTTGTTTCAAAAACAACCTAATTATTCCTTTCTTCGGTCTTTTGGGTGTTTATGCTTTCCTTACTTACGCCCCTATAATCAACACAAAGTCAATTTTCGATCCTCTCGTTGTGTGTTTCTTGGGTATCCTAGTTCGTTTAGTGGGTATAGGTGTTTGGACTTAAATACTGGAAAAATCTTTATAGCCCGTATTGTTCGATTTGATGAAAACTGTTTTCCCTTGTCACAGGCTTCTCAATTGCAGGCCACTCCTCCCAGTACTCAGACTTCCTCCCCATGGTGCATATGTACCCTACCAGGTTGCTCGCGTGTGCATCAATCATCTCAGCCAGAATCATCCTCACCCGGTCCACAACATTTATTAGCTCCTACTGCTGCAACTCGTCCACCCTCATCTTCCAACCGACATCCCCCTGCCTCCCGACCTCACCGTACCCACCATATGGTTCTTCGTCATATGACACGTTCTATAGCCCCTACTGCCAACCTCACTACCACACCAACTTCTGAACCTACTTGCTTCACCCAGGCAGTAAAATCAGCAGTGTGGCGTCAGGCCATGGATACTGAGTTCAATGCTTTACTTGCCAATCAAACATGGGAATTAATTCCTCCAACACCTTCTATGAATATCATTGGATGTAAATGGGTGTTCCGCATCAAGCATAAAGCCGATGGGACTATTGATAGATACAAGGCCCGACTTGTGGCTAAGGGATTCAATCAAATTGAAGGAGAAGACTATTCTGAAACATTCAGTCCCGTAGTTAAACCTACTACGGTTCGGTTGATTCTTGCACTTGCAGTTACTAAAGGCTGGAATATTAGCCAGCTTGATGTTCATAATGCCTTCCTCAATGGGCACCTTATGGAAACTGTCTATATGAGACAGCCCCCGGGCTATGTTCTTTCTACAGCGCCCAATCACGTTTGTCGTCTTCGGCGCTCACTTTATGGTCTTAAGCAAGCCCCTCGGGCGTGGTATCAACGTCTCCTTGACTATCTCTTATCTATTGGTTTTCGTGCTTCTAAAACTGATGTATCTCTATTTATTTACACTCACGATCATGACATGGTATTTCTCCTTGTATATGTTGATGATATTCTTGTCACCGGCAATAATGCTTCTCTTATAGCCACCATTATTGGCAAACTCAGTCGTACTTTCAAAATTCGTGATTTGGGGCGCTTATCTTTTTTTCTTGGAATTGAGGCCATTTCCCAGGACGGTGGCATCTTACTGTCTCAGAGAAAGTACCTTGAAGACATTATTCATCGAGCTGGTCTTGATAATTGCAAGCCCGTGGCTACTCCATTTTCTGTCACCGATAAGCTTACTGCTGCTTCCGGTACTCCTCTTCCCGATGCCCGTCAATATCGCATGTTAGCTGGAGCTTTACAGTATGCCACCATCACAAGGCCTGATCTTAGTTTTGCTGTAAACAAAATTTGTCAATACATGCACGCACCCACAGATGTTCACTGGAAGACTCTAAAACGCATTCTTCGTTATGTGAAATCTACTTCTCATTTTGGCTTACGTTTCACTCCTTCTCCTTCATTTGACATTCATGCATTTTCCGACTCCGACTGGGCCGGTTGCCTTGATGATCGCAAGTCTACTAGTGGGTATGCTGTCTTTGTTGGATCCAATCTGATCTCTTGGGTATCAAGAAAACAGAAAACTGTAGCACGCTCCTCAACTGAAGCGGAGTACAAAGCCATTGCCGATGTCACCGCGGAAGTTATTTGGGTAGTCTCTCTTTTGCGTGAGCTTGGTCTGTCTCTGCCTCATTCTCCTCGCCTATGGTGTGACAACTTGGGCGCCACCTATATGTGTGTCAATCCTATATTTCATGCACGGACAAAGCATGTGGAAATCGATTATCATTTTGTTCGGGACTTAGTAGCAAAAGGAGCAATTCATGTTCGGTTTCTCTCTACCAAGGACCAATTAGCAGACGTATTTACAAAACCTCTCTCTGCCTCCCGTTTTGCCTTTCTTCGAGACAAGCTTCAAGTTGTCCCTAGGGAACTTTCAGCTTGAGAGGGGAGTATTAGGAGTATAGCATGTATATGACTCTTACCGATAAAGTTTTAGATAAACTATCCTCCTGTAGATCCTATTTAGTCTCTAGTTGGTTAGCTGATCGTATGTATATATATCACTCATGTACTTCATTATCATATAGTTGAATATACAGAAATTCACATACTCTCTCTCAAATATTCATCGTACTCAGGTTGCATGACTCGCATCATTGGATTATTTTATTCAAACTCTACACTTTAATTTGATTATTGCATATTTTAATAATTAAAATTCAATTCAGAGGAATATGTGTACACAATTCCGAAATTTTAGTTTGTAATTTGCTGAATTTCTAGTCTCGTTTATAGCTGAATCACGATTGTAGCAGATTAGTTTGTAAGTAATACTACCTCCGTCCCACTAGCCAGCGGCGGACGCAGGATTTCCCGATAGCAGGGGCGGCAGTACAAGAATATACATACAAATACATATATATTAAAAATTTCGGGGTAAATATACCTAGAATTTTTTTTCCCCAGAGGGGCGGCAGCCCCCATAGCCCCCATGTGTGTCCGCCACTGCTACTAGCATTGGGGCAAAAGGGGGTGGCACGATTATTAAGAAATTAAAAGTGGGTTCATATAGTTGATATTAAATTGATAAAATAAGAATAAAATAAAAATGATTCTGAACCATACAAACTTTACCAGCAAATATGGGACAATCTTAACGAGATTTCCTGGAAAGAAAAAATGAAACAATCTTAGCGGGACAGAATCACGGACGGAGTATGATCGAATCAGAAATGAGTTAATTATCAAAATAGGACTAAAAGTCATTCACTTTGCACAAATAGGACCAAAAAATAAACTATGTTTCCATAAGACTAATTATGTGTGTCTTGGACAAATATACCCTTATACCTATTGGAATGTTTTAATTCATAATAAAATAATAAAAAATAATAAAAATTCGTAAAATATACCAAAAAATTAATAAAAATATTTTGAATAATAATAAATTTAAAAAAAATAAAAAAATTAAAAAAATAAAAAAAAATCAAAAAAAAAAAATTTTCACCGCCGCCTCTGCTGCACCACCACCTCTAGTCATTTGGGGAAAAATGCCAAATTTATTATGAATTCCAGATTTTTGGCATAATTCAGAATGATTTAAGATGGAAGAAAAAAAATGTTGGCATTGTCAAAGAGAAATATGCCATATATTTGGCATTTTCCGAAAAAAGTGGAAGTTTGTAGAAAATATGGCATTTTTTTAACGGTCGGAGGTGGTGGTGCAGGGAGGCGGTACCACCACCTCCTGTCACCGGGGTAAAAAAATGCCAAAAAAATTATGAATGCCATATTTTTGGCAAAAGTCAAAAGGATTCAAGTTGGCAGAATGAAAATGTTGGCATTCTCATAGAGAAATATGCCATTTTTGTGGAATTTAAAAAAAAAAATGGCATTTTTTACACCGATCGGAGGTGGTGGTTCAGGGAGGTAGTACAGGCGGTGGGAAAGGTATCCATATCTTTTTAAATTTTTTTATTGAGTTTTACTATTTTTTATTAATTTTCAAAAAAAAATAAAAAAAAAATTCTTATTTTGTATTTTATAAAAACTTTATTAATTTTTTTATTATTTTTCTACGAATTATTGAAATTTTTTCGAATTTATTATGAATTAAATATTTAATTATGACTTTTAGCTATCTTTTACTAATATTTAAATGAGGGTTAAGAATGGAAGGAAGAAATGGGTATGTTTCCAATAGGACCACTATGGTCCTATTTCGAAATAAAAAACATAGCAAGTCCTATTTTGAGTTTTTGCCATAGTTTTAGTCCTATTAGAAGTAATTTCTAATCAGAAATTAATAAATTGTGGTCAAAATTGACAGTCTTGACTCTTGATGTGATTGAAATTGGCAATTCTATCATTAATAAAACCGGCAAGTTTTATTTTAAATGAAATTCGATTATATATTTATGTGTATATTCGAATGTTCCCAAATTTTATAACGAATGAGGCTTATTAAGCCTAGAATTAGAATATACTTCCTCCGTTCTTAAATTAATGCAACGGTCAACATTTCACATTTGCCGAGACAAACCTTTGACCATTAAAATAAATGATTTTGTATTAGTAAAAAAATTAAAAAAATTAGATTATGAAAATTTACAATGAGACAAGTTTAACAATATTTTTTTCATAAAATAATATTATTACATTAATAAATAAAACGTAGTCAAAGTAGAACATGTGAATAGTGTAAAAGTCAAAGTGTTGCATTTATTTAAGAACAGATGTAGTACTTCCTCTGTCTCTAAACAGATGCAACATAGGGTGTGGACACAAGAATTAAGAAACACAGATAAAGTAAGTTTCTTCCCTTTATGCCCTTAAGTTTTACGCGCGCAACTAAATAAAGCTGGCAGACACATAATAATATTAGTAAAAGATAGCTAAAAGTCATAATTAAATGTTTAATTCATAATAAATTCGAAAAAATTTCAATAATAGTAATATAAATACAATTAATATTATTATAATGATATTATTATATTAATATTATTATTACAATAATATAATAATAATATGATTATTATTATTATAATTAGTATTATATTATTATAATATTATATTATAAATATAATTATAATTATAATTATAATCATAATTATAATTATGATTGTAATATTAATTGTAATTATTATAATTATAATTAATTACAATTATAATTAATTATAGATATAATTATAATAATTACAATTGATTATATTTATAATTATAAGAATTATAATTGTAATTATAATTATAATTACATATAATTATAATATAATATTATAATAATATTATTCATATTATTATAATATTGTAATAATAATAATAGTCTTCTTAACAATTGCATTTCTATTACTATTATTATATTAAAATATTATAACTATTATTAATATCTTTTTTTATCATATTAGTCCTCGAACTTTCATAAAAAGGTCAATTAAGTCCTTCTATAGGAAGTTCTGTCGGGCCGTCGCGATTTGGGGCAATTCCCGGTGGAATTTTTTGATGAATTGTTTTGAGCATCTTATTCACTAAGTCTAGTTTACTCATACCAAATTTCAGCTAAAAATTCAATCGGGAACCCATTCAAATTAATTCTTGAAGATAACTGCGCATTTTTGCGTTCTCGAATTAATTTGAATGCGCTCCCGATTAAATTTTTACCTGAAATTTGGTATGAGTAAACTAGACTTGATAAATAAGATGCTCAAAAAAATTCATCAAAACATTCCACCAGGAACCGCCCCAAATCGCGACGACCGGACAGAGTCTCCTATAGAAGGACTTAATTGACTTTTTTATGAAAGTTCGAGGACCTATTTGACAGTTTTCCCATAATTATATAATAATAATCATAATAGTAATAACAATAACAATATTAATAATAATAATAATAATTAATATTTAATATAATAATAAAAATGATAAATCATGTTTGAACTTTTCTGATCTGATCTGAATGTTTCTGATCTGGTCTGATCTGAGCTGAATCTTTCTGATCTGATCTGATCTGAATCTTTCTGATCTGATCTGATCTGATCTGAATTTTTCTGATCTGATCTGATCTAAATTTTTCTGATCTGATCTGATCTGATCTGAATAAAATAAGAATAAGCAATAAGTAATAAGAATAAGACGAACAGAACAGCACCTTGCACATGCTTGACTTTAAAATTAGCTTATGAAATTCTGAAGGGAGTTACAAAAAGTTAAAAATAAAACTTTCCCTCCAAAAAGCACGTACTATAAATGTACAAGCAATCTTCTAAAACCAACACTTCCCTGCAGTATTCTTCTACACCATAAAACTACCCAAAAGTTTCTGCATTTACAAGCTCTTGGAAACTACTCAATAAAAGACAAAAAAAATTGTAAAAGCAGCAGCTGCTGCCCAAAACTTTCTGCACTTACAAGCTCTTAGAAACTACTCAATAAAAGACAAAGAAACTGTAAAAGCAGCAGCTATAATGGATGAGCATATCACTGTGACAGAGCTTCTTCAACTGGAGGATGACAATTGGTTTGATGACCTTGATTTCGACCCAGATGAAGGTATATTCTCCTCCTTCTATGAAAGTGACAGTGAAGATGAACACAATTCCGAAATCCCAAATGATGTTGATGTCACAGTAAGTCAGATGCAGCAGGAAGAAGAAAAATTGAACTGCAAAATAATCAAAGGAAACAACTTGTTGAAAAGCTATTAGGACTTGCTAATGGTAAAATCTTACCCAAAGGAGCTGTATCCGAAATTGCATCACAGTTCAAAGTCCACAGAACTACTGTGTGGAGAATTTGGTCTGCAGCTAAACAACAAATGAATACGGGTACACACATAAATGTCAAAAATAGGGGAAAAGGGAGGGTTGGAAGGAAAGCAATGGCTTTTGATTTGGAAAGACTTCAAGTTGTGCCTCTTGAACAAAGGACAACAATCAGGTCATTGTCTTTTGCACTTGAAATCAGTCATTCAAGTGTGTATAGGATGTTGCAAAAAAGAAAAATTAGGGCTCATACTAAGAGTATTAAGCCTAAATTGACTCATTCACATATTCGCATATGATCAAGAGGCTACAACACATTATGCATCAAATTATACCAAGGATAGTTCACACATTGCCTAAATTTAGTGTAATGTATAATATGGTTCATATAGACGAGAAGTGGTTCTACATGTTACAATAAACACAAAGATTTTATCTATTTCATCGCTAAAGTTATGTTTTTGGCTGCAGTGAGCAGGCCACACATTTCAGCTGCAGGTTAGGTATTATGGGATGGTAAAATTGGGATTTTCCCGTTTACTGAAGTGGTTTATGCACAACGAAACTCAGCTAACAGAGTTGCGGGCACACCGGAAACAAAAGCAATACAAAGTGTTACCAAGGAAGTAATAAGGTCAAAACTTATTGATTGTGTTTTGCCAGCTATTAGGGAAAATTGGCCAAGTAATGCATGCAAAGAGATTTGGATTCAACAAGATAATGCAAGACCACATATAAGTGTGCAAGATGTGCAGTTCAATGAGGTTGCTACAGCTTTTGGATTCAATATAAGATTGGCATGTCAACCTGCTCAAAGCCCGAATTTTAATGTACTTTATCTTGGGTTTTTTAGAGCTATTCAGTCCATTCAATACAAAGTTTTTCCTAGGGATGTCAATGAACTAGTAAGTGAAGTCAAAGATGAATACCATAACTTTGATCCCAAGCTACTAAACTACACATGGTTGCATCTTCAATATGTGTTCAAAGAAGTGTTGAAAGTCAAAGGTGAAAATAACTACAAAAATCCCCATGCAGGGAAAAGGAAATTAGATAATTTGGGGGCACTGCCTGAACAAATTGACATTCCTGAGGAACTAATTCAAGCAACCAGACAATACTTGTTGGAGGGTGAAATAGAAGTTAATGTGGGTATAGGTTCCAACACTACACCTACAGTCAGGGTCGGCTTGAGGATTGTAGAGGCCCTAGACAAAAAAAGCACTTAACTACTTCAGTATCGCGTCTCTCAAAATCTATTTTTACATACCTCTTCATAGATCGGGCAAATGATTTTATCATCAAATCTTGATATAATTTTTATTCTTTCTTTGTACTAGCACGAACAAATTTTCCTATATTAGTCATCACAAGAGCTACATATTCATTACAAAAACTGAATTAAAAAAAAATCACAAATTAAAATATATGACTGTTATATGCTCGATCAAATTAAGTAAATACTTACATATTACAAACTAAACACTTGAATACTATTCTAAAAACATCTTATAGCACATTGTTACAAACGTTAAACAAACAATAGAAATTAAAAGCACTTTAATTGGAGAGCAACAAGATTAATAAGGGAAAGTATAAAAATTGGGGGCGGCCATAAATCAATAATGATGGAAAAAAATATTAAAGAAACTACTATCTTCGTCCCCTAAGTTTGGGACGAGAGAAGGTGGCACGGTTATTAATAAAAGTAACTTTATGTGGTTGATATTGAATTGATAAAGTAAGAATAAAGTAGAAATAATTTATAACCACACAAATTTTACCAAATAAGGTGTGTGACAATCTTAGTGGGACGGACCGAAATAGTAAAATGGGACAATCATAGCGGGACGGAGGGAGTACAAATCTAAAATGTGTTGTGGTTCACAATTACGGTACTAGAATAAAGTGCTGTAATATTTTTCTGCTTCCACGACGACAAATAGGCTGAAGCTTTACGAGGCAATACCTAATAGTACTTTGTTACTAGTAAAGATGAGGCCCCCTAGAAATGTGAGGCCCTAGGCTGCCTGGGCTAACTCCCCCTGGAGCCGGCTCTGCCTACAGTCAATTAATTTCATATTATAGGTATGTAAGTTGTAGTCTACGGTAGACACATTTTGCTAGTTAGGGTTGCCTCATTTTGATTTTTTGCAATAGTGCATGAAGTTTGTAAAATGGACACTGAGTAGGGTTGGCAGTAATTTTGTGTAACGCACTCAAGGAGCCTTAACTTATTTTGTAACGCTACACTAAAGGGTCGGTCATTATGTTGTAAGGGACACTATGGGCAGCCTCATTTTGGTACTTCAGGCAGCCTCATTGGGTCATTATTTTGTATGGGATGCATCAGACAACCTCTGGCAACCTCATTTTTTCTGTATAAGCAAGAATCTATGAAGTAATATGTGAGGACTTCATTTTAGTACTTCAAGTAGCCTCATTTAGATTATTCTCTTTAAAGGTTTTTATATGCAGGTATGTACCAAATCTAGTGTTAGTTAAGCATAAAGTTTTTAGCTATGTAATTGCTTGAATGAGTTTAATCTATGTGTATAGCTTTTACTTGAGCAATTTCCATGAATGATTACTAAATCTACAAAGTGCATGAACTTCAATCCAAAAAACGAAAAAACATACCATTAATCTGAATAACCTTTTGCAAGTTCTATTGCTATGTACAATTGAAAAAAAAAAGAGATTAAACTCGTAAGTTTATAGTGCCCTGTGACTTATAAATTCATTCATTGCACAAGTGAAAAAACTCCTATGTGAGCCATATGAATTCGAAATACAGAAAATTTTGATAAAATCACATTATGTAAATCTCATCCTCTCATTCCTACTGCAAGTAAAATTCATGAAAATTAAGAGATGGATGGCTAGATTAAACTAATTTAAGTATAATTAATTTAAGAAAAATTAAGCTACTTCAACCTAACATTAGCAAACCAGATTTGTTTGAAGACCTTAATGATGAAATCATGCCATCATGGTACTCATCTGAATTCATACACAAAAAGAAAGCAAGAAGATTTTCCAAGTCCCTCCGTTGGTCCTGGCCTGGGATGCCTTCACGACGGCGAAACTGTCTGGTATTACAATTATGGACTCGGGCCGGGCGGCCCGACCCGGAACCGGCCCGGCCCGGCCACTGTTGCAACCGGCCCGGCCCGGTGGCCCGGTCCACCGGCGGTTCGGGTCGAACCGGCCCGGTGGTTCCCGGTTCCGGGCCCGGGCCTTCCATATGGTGAACCGGCCCGGCCGGTTCGGGCCCGGTCCGGGCCGGATTTTAATTTTTTTTTTTTTTTGAAAAATTTTTTAAATCTTGGGTTGGAATAGGTATTTTGGGCCATTTGAGGTGGTTTGGGGTTGAGGGGGAGGGGTAGGGGATTAAATAGGAGAACAAAAAAAAAATGGGCCGGTTAGGCCCGGCCCGGCCCGGTTTGGCCCGGAACCGGCCACCGGCGGTTCGGGCCCGGGCCTCCCCTTTCCTGGCCCGAGGCCCGGCCGGGCCCAGGCCCGAACCGGGTCCGAACCGGCCCGAGTCCAAGTCTACTGTCTGGCAAGATGTTCTTTGTTGATGTCACACTTCTTCATCCCTGAATTCTACCGCAGTTCGTTCTCGACAAAAAGGGCCACCGCAACACGCCTTCTTGTTCTTTACCGGCCTTCTCATCAAAATTTCCTCCAGCACGATTGGTTTGTTCACCTTTGATTCTCACATAGAATGGTTGAGATGGGTTATTAGATTAGAAAGAGATGCTGCATCGGAAGAAATTAGGGTGAAAGGATTCAGGGCTAGAAATTAAGAGGAGAGAGGAATGACAGATTGGTGGGGGAGCATAGAAATAAAAAAGGTAGGTACAAATTGGTTTAGTATAAATTAATTAGGGGTATTGAAGGCATTTCATTTAGTTTTGCTTACTAAAAGAAGAAGTGTTGCAGTTAAATTGAAACTGCCAAAAAAGGAAAGTGTTGCATCTATTTAGAGACGGAGGATAGTATGATTAATTATGAATACATGTAAGAGTGTTAAACAGCATAACCAGTGAATTATATACACAGCGATTCGTCATCAGCTATACATTGTGGTCTAAAAGAGTTTCCACAGCATAACCAGTGAATTATATTTACAACCCAGAATCGCTTCAAGAAAATCGACACTTTGACATGCTGGAACAGCATATTGCTGTAGCAAAACCCCCCGTTAAACAACATTATATGACTTATAGATCGACACTAAACTACTGAGCAATATGGAGCTCTTGTTTGGTTATGAAGTAGCGACCAATAGCACTTCCCTGCTCTATCATGAACTGCTCCTGAAATGTTCCCATTCTCTTGCTAGGTAAATCCAAAGACAGATCTTTGAAATTTGGCACGCCCTCAACTTGCAGACCATCCCCACATATAAGAAATTGATTCCCAACAATAAACGATCCTGAAACACGAATTGCAACTGCATCTTGACCGTGGGCCCGACACTGTAGTTTCTCTACAACATGCACAAGCTTTTCTGGTGGCCATTCCCCAGCTAGCGTACTTCGAATATTTGATAATGTTGTAAATATATCATTTGGCCCGACAGATTCTTTCCCACAAAAACTGCAATCATAAAAGAAGGGGATATATGTCAACTTTTCTTTCTGATTATTCAATTTTGCATAACATTGGCCAAGTCTGCTTACGAGAGAGAATGAATGGTGTGTTTTAAGACTTTTAACCATTTAACGCTGGAGGTTCTACCTCATTGGCAGAAAGTTTGTGGTCAAAACCGACCACCGAAGCCTACGACACTTGCTGCACCAGAGAGTAATTACACCTTTTCACCAAGACGGGATTGCTAAGCTACTGGGCTATGATTTTGAAATTACACACAAATTGGAGAAGACTATCGATGAGTAGAAGCGTTGTTAAGTCAACATGAACGGTTGCAATCATTGTTTAGAAAGGCGCATACATGGCGGGTATTGAGGCACGCCTCAAAGAGAGTCATACACTCAAAGAGAGGCATACAAAGAAAGTATCAAGGTGTAGATTTTTTGCAGAACGAGAGGCTTACTCCTCAAAGGTCAAGGCGTTTTTTGAAGCAATTTTCCTTTGCCTACATCTTTTTAATGTGGTAGACGTGCCACTAGCTTTGTTAGTAATATACGGTACGTGAATAATACAATAATACGTACGTTCGTGTATAATACGATACAATTATATAAAATACGGCTTAATATATGTTTCATACGTTCGTGAAATATATAAAGATACGGACGCGTTTTAAACGTTTCACAATTTAAAAATACGGCATATATTATGTGTCTTATATACGAAGTACTTATTTAATGATAGAAATAAAGAGTTATTTAACATTTGCACCCCAATCTTCAACAATTTAAAATGTACGGAATAGTTTTTTTTTCAGATTTACGTATTTAAATGCATAGGTACAATACGTAATAAAAATGACATTGCCTATTTAAGTAGAAGTGGAGAGATATTACTAGAAAATAGTTGATATTACTTTGACCATGAGTTTAGTGAGCCGCCACAACATTTTTCAATATCTTTGGAGTCTTGGTATATGGGTGGAGAACAAAAGTAATACAGTAGTAGTACAATAGAAATATCGAAACAGATTACGAATTTAAGAAGCTAATTCATTAAATGTAATGACCGTTAAACAATTAGCGAACATATAAGGCATAACGTTTTCTAAGCAATATAAATAATATTGATTAGCTTGACATGCATTTTGTTTCAGTTGTATCACTCCATTAGGCTTCCGTTTAATGGTGTGTGTTTTTCATAAAATACGTATCAATACGTACAGTACGTGTATTATACATTTTATCCTTAAAGCACGTGAGTTTTTCAGAATTTTCTGAAAAATTCATAAACAGGAGTATTATACGTAATAAAATACGTATCAATACGTACGGTACGTGTATTATACATTTTATCCTTAAAGTACGTGAATTTTTCAAAAAAATTTGAAAAATTCATAAACGGGAGTATTATACGTGAATTGTACGTTCGAGTGTATTATACGCGAATTATACGCGAATAAACTAACAAGAGGTGGTAGTTACTTAAAAAAGGCCTAGTGTATTTTATTTAATAAAAGGCCCATATATTAAAGATTAAACACGTGTCCACACTAAACCATAACAAGCCTTGTTTGATTTAAAATATTCATTTAAATATATAATCTGTGTTATCTACTCAGCGAGTACTCTCTACTCGGCCTCCTACGTTGCAGAGTAGCACCTTAACTCAGCCCGAGTTAATTTTCCGAGTTACTCGCCGAGTTAGTCAACTCGGCGAGTTGGTCAAATTGGCGAGTTACTCGCTATTACTCAGTATATTAAAAAAAGAAAAAAAAGAGCATGCGCTTACAAAACCTAAACATATAATCGCTACTGGTCATCATTTGGAGCATCGACTACTGCCGCTACATCATTTGAAGCTGCGACTGCCAGGAGCTCTGACCGCTACTACTACGAGCTCTGAGTGCTACAGTGCTGCTGGGAGGACCTGCGACTCTTGCGAGTGCTACTGCGAGGAGCTGCGCTTGTGACATCAAGGGATAAGTTCTTTCCCTTGTTTCTTCAATTCTTCCCTCTTGTTAAAAAAATTAAATCAATCATGGGATGATTAATTCCCTCTCGTTTATCCAAACTGCTGCAGCCGTAATTTTTTACCATTGAATTCCAAGTTGCTAAGTTTCTAAGTTATTAAGTTTATCCAAACTGCTAAATTCTTCCGTCTCGTTTATCCAAACTGTTGCAGCCGCAATATTTGACCATTGAATTCCAGGTTGCTAAGTTTCTCAGTTATTAAATTTCTGAGGCATTAAGTTCCCTTTATACTACATGTTAAGCTTTCATTTTTTTATATAAATTTTTCCTTGGCAGTGTGTATGTTTGGAGCTTTAGTCATAATTGATATCAATTCTTTCGTATATTCCCCTCCCCTGTCTCGTTTCTTATCATTAGGATTAGGGGTGGGCAAACGGGTCTGGAACCGCGGTTCGGGGCGGGTAATTTACGGTTCTGATTTTAGGAAAAACAAAACGGGGCGGGGCGGGGCGGGTAATAATTAATATAGGGTCGGGCCGGTTCCCAGATTCCAAAATAATGGGTAGCCGGACCGGCCCGTTAAAATATAATTTATTTTTATTTTACCCAGGCCCATTAGGTTTGTAAATCAGTAACTCGCTGACCCGCCCCTTCATTTTCCAAAACAAAATCGTAGAAGCCAATCAAGCCATGTCTGTTCCTCCATTTCTAAATCCCTAGCACTCCAGCAGTACGTGAGTCTCTTCTATTCTCTAATCTCTACTACGAAGTACGAAGAGATGCTATGGCACCAAGCTAATCTAAAGTTTGAAGGTTAAACACAGAGAGCCACAGACTCCTTAAAGACGGAGAACTCGTTGGTCCTCATACGCATGCGGGTTGTCACGCAGCTGCCGGACTCGGTCTGTCACGCAGCTGCCGGACTCGGTCCTAATAAAAAAAGAAAGTAAATCATTGCTAGTTAAATAGAGTTTTATTTAGTTCATGACTGCACTTAATAGTTGGTTCTCTGTGTATGTTCAGTAAATATCTTTTTTGACTACTATTTCAATTTTCCTAGTTCCCTGGATGCTATGAGTTCACTGGATCATGAAGTGCTACAAGATGTGCAGATTGTGCGATGTGTTTCATTTTTTTTAACCTATGAACTTAGATTTTTGAAGTGATGAAATATTTTGTACTTTTTGGAGTATGTCACATTGTTTACATTAAGCGGAAGTTGTATGTCTACTTTTTAAATTTGGGCTTTGGATACAGTATTTCTAGATGTTTTTATTTTTTTGCTATCATCAATTGTTATTTTTCTTTTGTATGAAAAGAACCGAAAAACTCGGACCGTATTACCCGTATAAAACGGGGCGGGTTAGGTCCGGTTCCCGTAGTAGTGATTGGTGTACCCGCCCCGCCCCTACCCGTTCAAAAGAACCGTAGGTTCCTAAAATTTTGAGAAAACCCGGACCGACCTGGACCGTGCCCAGCCCTAATTAGGATAATAGGATTTTGCTACTCCATCATTAGGATAATAGGATTTTTATCCTTTTATTCACTTCTGTGCATTTTAAAACAATTTAAAGACTATTTTAAGACTACTATAGTTCTATAATCTCGGGCACCTATATTATTATATTTAATTAATACAAGGCCAAGTAATCACCGAGTAATCCCGAGTACTCGGTCCTACTCGCTACTCGGCCCTTGACCGAGTTGCTACCGAGTAGCGAGTAAACTACCTAGACCCTAATGTATGCTTTCTATTAAGCATTTAAGCACACTCATTGTCGTTAAAAAAATCCCATACTCCTGTCCAAAAAACAAATCATACCCCTGTAAAAAGAAGTCTGACAACTTCTTATGAACACTCTATAGAGGAAAAACTTCCTTTCTTCGAGGCAACTTCTCTTCTCCTCTCTTCTTCTGCATCCCCTTATCCTCTTCTTCTACTCCTCTTCCTATTCATCTCATCTCCTTCTTCATCCCCTTATCCTCTTCTTCTCCTCTTCTACTCCTCTTCCTATTCATCTCATCTCCTTCTTCATCCCCTTATCCTCTTCTTCTCCTCCTCTTCCTGTTCATATCCTCTCCTTCATCCCCCCTCATCCACTTCTTCTTCTCCTCTTGTTCTTTAACTTCTCTTATTGAGTTAATGATAATGAAAAGGATGATGGTGATGGAGCTATAAGATATGATATTCTTCTGAAGAGCCTTCCAGTCATGCTGATTTAGCTTCAAGGTTTTTAAATTGAATCTGTGTGATGTGTCCTTTGTGTGTTTGAAATCTCATTTTGAACTATCATGTTTGATGATGCGATCATGTGTGTATGTGTTCGAAACTATTTATAATTATGCATATCTTTACCTGGTTATTACTAGTTTAACTAATTTTAGTTTAATTTGTTGGTATCTTTTGAGGCTTACGCCTCAATACACCTCAAGGCTTATGCCTCACCTTCCGGAATATACCGCCTCAATGACCAAACTAGCCTTTTCAAACCTCAATGGCAATGATACACATACAAAGGGATGGATAATGTATTCCAAGAAAAAGATAGGCAGTCAAACAATTGTGGAGACCAATCAGCAGTAGAATCAGTGATGAAGCATAATTTCAGGAATAGCACAGTTAAAGGGATTGATCATTAATAGTTGGATCAGCACAATTTAAGGGATTGATCATTTATACTAATATACTTAATTTATTTATATATTACAATTTACTATAAATAAGGTGAGAAGGGATCATATTGGGAGTTACTATAATAACTTACTCCCTCCGTCCCAATTTGATTTGCAGAATTTCCTATTTTGATTGTCCCAAATTGATTTTTTACTTTCTATTTTAGGTTACGAAAAAATGATTAAATTGACAAACATACCCTTACGGCCTTACTTTTACCCCTTTTCCATTTACTTTAATGCCTTTTCCTTATGGGAGATACTACAAAATGGTAAAACTAGACTTTATTTATTACTTTCTTTAATTTTTGTGCCAGTGAACTTTTACAAATCAAATTAGGACAGGGTCACAAAGGGAGTAGAATAGTGGGAGCTGCTATAGTAATTTAATGGAGGTTGCCTTCTTAGTATACCTTTTTTGTTGTCAATTTGTCATCCTTTATTTATCCAAAATAAATAATAAAATAACTATTATTGAGGTTTAGTCTTGCTCCTGTCTCTTTACTCTATTAGTTAGATTGGCATTACTCAATATGATACAATTCATGATTCAAAATAGGTACGCCGAATTTAGGATTCGATACTCATTAGAAAACCTGCTTTTGGTGCCACATTCAAATTTTTTCCAACTATAAGTCTATAATAGATTATCATAACCTGAGTATTTTCTTAAAAAAACTAAATAGCTTCGAACTTCAAATTTCTTAATTTTATGCTTTTTAATTTTTGCTTGACCACATTATGTGTGCTTTATCTTCAATGATGAATTATTATTTTATCTTATTTTTTTAATTATTTTATCTAACAAGTCAAATCTTACAACTCATTTTTTCTTGAGGCTTACATCTCATGAGGCCAAGGCCAACCACCTTGAGTCCCAACTTTGCCTTTCAAAACCTTGCGGGAAAGGGGATAGGTAGGCCACCTCTCTCTGTTTTTCTCTTTGTTTTTTTATCCCTTGGAAAAAGATTAGGAGGTCAAGACTTGAGGCTATAAAATAAAATTCCATGGAAAAAGCATATTGCATCGCTTACCTGAAGATAGAGAATTCTGTATAAAGCATCCTAGTATGTAGCCAAAGATCGTCAGACCCGTCAAACAATAAATAGTAGTGTATTGTGAACATCTAGAAAAAATCAATGACATAATATTAAATTAATCAAGTGTCAATAATAACGGAATGAAATTTGAATCAACAAGTTTAGTAAAATAAAATAGTGTATTGTCGTGCACTGATTCATGGTATCCCCCACTAACAGACACTATTTCACTTACATCTGCAAGATCCTTCATCTTCTCTGTTGGATCAAAAATACTTCGGACAAATGCACCTAAGTCGACTCCCATAGTATCCACATACTTGGTAATGAATGGGTGTGAAAGAAGCTACAATTATATGAGCAAGAAACGGATCAATGAACAATAAAAAGTTGTATGTAGAACAGAGTACTACTCACAGCCTAAAGTTGTGGGTAGTATTACTAGAAGTCTAACCTAAAAAGTTGTATCTAGAACAGAGTACTACTCACAGCCTAAATAAACAACTTTAACCTGGCACACAGATTTTTAGCATTTGCTAACTCTAAATAGATGTAACAAAACTGAAAAGTGAAAACTAATAACAAACTTAATTTTACAAAAACGACCCGAGTAGATTTATAGCAATCATATATAAGAAATTGGGCAAAAGTTGGAGCGACGAGAACATAGAGGAGTACAAGGAGGCTAGAAGAAGAGCAAAGAAAGCTGTAAAGGAAGCAAGAGTAAAAGTGAACAAGGAATTGTATGCAAAATTGGACTCTAAGGAAGGAGAAAAAGATATTTACAGACTTGCTCGTCTTCATGACCATAGGACTCAAGATATAGGAAAAGTTAAGTGTGTGAAGGATGCCGATCAAAAGGTACTAATGGAGGACGGGGAGATAAAAGAGAGGTGGAGAGCTTACTTTGATACACTTTTCAACAGGAACAAAGCGCAAAATATCGGTGATTTGGCCATACCAGATTGCATGGTAAATCGTGATTTTGTGAGAAGAATCCAAACAACAGAAGTTAAGGAGGCTCTGAGGAAGATGGGGCGGAAGAAAGCAGTGGGACCAGATGGCATACCGATCAAGGCTTGGAGAAGTTTGGGAGAGAGAGGCGTCGAGTGGTTAACAAGTTTCTTCAACATGATTTGGAGAAACAACAAGATGCCAACGAGGTGGAGGAAGAGTACTCTTATCCCCTTATTCAAGAATGAAGGTGATGTACAAGGATGTGCCAACTATCTAGGGATTAAACTTATGAGTCACACCCAAGGTAGTCAAAAGCGAGCGCCTGGGCGCTGAAGCGCACCAGGCGCAGCGCAGATGAGGCTTAGCGACTGAACAATGGCCAGGCGCAGCACCCTGTGTGAAGCGCAGTTTATGCGCAGAAGCGCAAAAGCGCCAAAGCTGAAAAAAGCGCACGCTTAAACCGCCTGGGCTGGGAAAGGCTAACCAGTCCATTTTTTTTGTTTGATCCTACTTTAAATAATAAGCCCATACTGATAATAAGATCTGGCCCGTCCAAATAATAGGTAAAAACAACTTAAACACATATTAAACCCTTCTTAGTTGTGGGGAAAATCTTGACTTCATCGTTACTCTCCTGTCTTGTTATGTGCGCAACATGCTTAGCGCTGAAAAATATTCAGCGAACCCACAGAAGTCAAAAAATCCATAAGGTGTCTTCTTTTTCTTATTCTTCGCATGTTCTTTTATGGTTCTTTTTTGCTTCTAATATATGTTATACAACTCAAACATAATATATGTACCTGACCTACCGGTTTACATGTGAACAACATATTATTTCATCTTATTATACAATCTATAACTCTATATCTTCCTAGTATTATTTCATATTTTAACTTTCTAAAAACTTCATATAATCTAACTCAGTCAATAGTTTTATACACTATATGATTTATGCTATTCCTAGTGCTAAAATTGCAAAATCAACAAAGACAGACCCCACTCAGTCTTTTGTTTTTGTGAGTCATGACATTATTTTGGTGAATCATGACTTTATTTTTTTGAAACATGACTTTTTGATGCATTTAGTTCAATATGGTGTTTAATATGTCATATTGGATCACTCTAGAATAGTATACGTAATATTTTCTAAATAGTGCGCTTCACCCGAGTCAGGCGAGCGCTTTTTTGCGCCTTGCGCCTCAGGCGATACAAGTACTTTAGCGCCTTAAGTGCGCCTCGCGACTTTGACTACCTTGGTCACACCATGAAACTTTGGGAGCAAGTGATTGAACAAAGACTTCAAAGAACTGTAAAGATTTCAGAGAATCAATTCGGTTTTATGCCTGGTCGCTCAACAACTGAGATCATTCACCTTCTTCGGCAACTTATGGAGAAGTATAGACACGCTCACAAGGATCTGCATTTGATGTTCATTGACTTAGAAAAGGCTTATAATAGGGTACCTCGAGAAGTTCTTTGGTGGGCCTTAACTAGAAAAGACATATCACGCAAGTATATCAGCATCATCATGGATATGTATGAGGATTGTACTACAGGTGTTCGTACTAATGTAGGGAGGACTGCAGAGTTCCCTATTACTATCGGAGCCCACCAAGGATCGGCTCTGAGCCCTTTCTTATTTGCCATAGTCATGGATGAACTTGCGAAGTCAATTCAAGACGAAGTACCGTGGTGCATGATGTTTGCCGACGATATTGTATTGATTGATAAGACGCAATCAGGTCTTAAAGCAAAGTAGGAAGTATGGCGGCAAAAATTGGAGAACAAGGGTTTCAGACTAAGTCGGGGCAAGACAGAGTACATGGAGTGCAAGTTTGGTGGAGGTAGAAGCAGTAGTAATAGTGGAATTACTCTAGATGGTAAGGAGATACCAGTCAGTGATATGTTCCGTTACTTGGCTCCATAATTCAGAAGGACGGTGAGCTAGAAGGAGATGTATCCCATAGAATCAGAATAGGGTGGATGAAGTGGAAGAGTGCGTCAGGATTTCTATGTGATAGAGGTATGCCGACCAGACTGAAGGGTAAATTTTATAGGACAGCAATTAGGCCTGCATTGCTATATGGCGTAGAGTGTTGGGCGGTGAAACAATGTCACATCCAAAAGATGAGTGTGGCAGAGATGCGCATGTTGCGTTGGATGTGTGAGCATACTAGGAAGGACCACGTGAGAAATGAGACAATCAGACAAAGGGTGGGAGTAGCACCTATTGAAGACAAGATGCGGGAGTCTCACCTATAGTGGTTTGGTCATGTGCGTAGAAGACCGAATGATGCACCTGTCAGACGTGTTGAGATGTGTGGAGAAGAGGCGGGGAAGAGAGGGAGAAGACATAAACAGACGTGGGTTAGGGCAGTCCGAAGTCATATGCTTCTTCTTGGGTTGGATGAGGGTATGGCTTTGGAGAGAGCAAAGTGGAGGGCGGGTATTCGCGTGGAGGAGTGATCTCGTATTATTATTATTTCCCCTCATCTTTTTTCTTCTTGTTTTTTATTCTTTTATCCTTATATATATAAACATTATTTTATCCTTTTTATTTTATCATTTTTAAGTATATTCATCCCGTTTTATATTATCTTTTTTATAATAGCTTATTTTTTATCTTTATTTTCTTTCTTTTCCTTTTGGTGGTGTTATCATGTATCGATTCATGTTAGCCGACCCCAATATCTTTTGGTACTAAGGCTTGGATGTTGTTGTTGTATATATAGGCGTGTCCTGTATTATTATATTATACGTAGTATTAATTACTATTATGTCGGGCAAACAACGTTAAAAATAGCGTTTCTCAGAAGGCAACCCGAGCTTCTTTTTGCATTGTTGTTTTAGTTTGTTTTCTTTTCAACCCCCCCCCCCCCCCAAAAAAAAAACTATTAATTACTATTATTATCACTATTGCTATTAGTATTACTAATTTATTATTACTCCGTATAATTTATTTATTATTGTTGTTGTTTTACTCCTTTCGTCTCACTTTGTAATATATATATGTTAGGGACCCGGCCCAGTTGTTAGGGGCCCGGCCCAATAGAGTATAATAATAATAATAATAATAAAATGTATGTCTAGTATAAATAGAAGGAAGGAGGGATAGTTAGGAGGCTTTTGGGACTTTGGTCTGGGAACTGGGAAGATTAGAGACTGACGATCTCTTCTCTTTTGGGAGGCTTCTGCCTAGGTCGCTGTACTGTTCATCTTCTTCAATAAAGAATTTCAGTTTGTTTCTTGATAATAATTCCTGTAATTGCTGTAATCTTGGAGGACTCTAACATTGGTATCAGAGCTAGGTTACTTCCTGGAGACGAAGAATCTGAACCATGGAGGAGGACTACTACATGACACCGCAGATGGAAAAGAGCTTTGATAATATTGATCGAATTATGAGGGAAACACAAGCGAGTATGGTTGCGTCGGGAGAAAAGCTGAAGAAGATGATGATCGATATGCAAGAAGCGATGCTAACTAGCGTGGCAGAATTGCAGAACCGACTTCAAAATCGTTCGCGACATACATCGCACCATATACATCGACATACCTCTTCTCGCTCGTCGCAGAAGGAGTCACAGATGAAATTGAGGAATTCGTATCACCATCCTCAGCAGCGAACAGAATCATCATCATCATCGCACACATCGTACCGGTCTCACCATCACCATTCGCCTAGCCCTCATCAATCGCGGCATTCAGCGAGTTCAGAGGAGTTGGAAGATCGGAGGTGCCGCAGAAAAACGGAAGAACGATTCCGTAAGAATAGGTCTCTTCCGCTAACTGACAAACAAGGTTCGTCGCATAGCTCTTCTCATAGTTCTTCGCATCACCCTTCGCAGACGAAATTGCTAACAGAGTCGTCATCTTCATCTCGAACAACTCCTCATAAGTCATCGCCCGTTCCTAGACCACAGACTTCTGCGTTGGCTTATCCTCACAGTTTGCAGATGACACTGAACTCCATTGATGGTCAACCTGTGGAAGATATAGACCTCGTGGGGTCAGGAAGTGGATCGCCATTGACAACACCGAAGAAGGCTGAGGCCAAGTTAAATACATCTTTAATTCCTGGATCGGATCCGGAATATGACATGACTGAAACAAGGGAATCTCCACAAGATAACTCTGAAGATTCAGAAATTTATGATGGTCAGAGGTATGAATTTGGAGTGAAAAGAAACCTAGAATACTCTGAAATTTTTTTGAGTCCAGAACGTGAGAAGGTGGTGTTACTCCAGGGTGCCTTAGCAAAGCAATGGGGAAAGACTGATCTTGGGATGAGTATAAGTGAAGGGATAGTCTTCAATCACTCAGATATCAAAACTGGGTCAAACCTCAAAGAGAAATCTATCCATAGCAGAATGGGAAATGGTGTGTCTT